TCGTTGTATTTGATTCACTGCATGTACACACCTGTTATATGCAATTTTTTTTTTTTGTAAGATATTGTGCCTTAAGTAATATGAAACCCGGATTTGAATTATTACTATTCTGTTTTGTAATAATTTGTATGTACATATGACTTTAAATCATAAATTCATCAGGCAGTCTTCCATTCCAACATAGATGGAGGAAGATGGAGGAAGGCTGCTTATTTAGTATTACACACTCACGAAAAAGAAATATTGTTGGTGAAGATGATGATACGGAGGGTAACCAACTTTTTCAATGGATTAGACCTCTTCATTTAGATGATGATGAAGGCAACCCAGCTCCCAGAGTTGCTGAAGAAGCACGTAATGAAGGAATAAATGTAGAAAGAGTATTAGAGGAGGAGGTGGGATCTAGCAGCTCTGACTCTTTCGAAGAAATTTTGTACCCAAGACCAAGCAACACTGGAATTCCACCTTCTTCCAATCCTACACAACCACAACATCGTGCTGATACTAATGATAGCTCTAGTACAAGATCAGGAGACTCACCTACCACCTGAGGTGGGAATGATGAAGGACATAGTGGAGCTGGAGGTAGTGGAGTTGGAGGTAGTGGTGGTGGATATGGAAACTATTATGGACCACCACCTCCCGGATATATGAGCCCCTTCACTGGTGAGGCAAACTTCACGCATGCAACACAGGATGATGACCATGGCAGTAGGCGGGCAGGACCAGGAATTGGTGCCATAGGGAAGAACTATACTCGCAGAGAAAGAGGCAAAGGGATTTTGTCAAGTCAAGAAGATGACTCGTTATCTAGAACTTCAGACTCTGTTGGATTGGGAAGTAGTAACAATGGTTATACTCATAACCAACCATTTCCCTACCCTTCATATCCCATTCCTGTTGGGATGGAATCGAGCGACTCATGGAAACAATCCTAGCCTCAATCTTCAAATGATTTTTCTTATGGACAACCTCAACCAATCTCGGATCCATATGAGTGACATATTAACAATTACATGCAAAACTATTTTGGGGATTTATCATTTGATAACTACTCTTCACAATACACTCATTCTACACATAGAGATGATGAAGATAGTGACAAATTTGAACCTCATAGGAACTCTATGTGGTACTAAAGTGTAAAATATTTTACTAATTCATTATATATAAATGATTATGGTGTGTTTAGACTTCTTTCATTAATTACTACATATTTTCTACACTCATAATGTTTGTCAGATCGCTATATAATCAACTTGATAATGTTAAATCCATCATGCAATGCATTTCCTTCCAATTTTTTGTGATAAGCTAATAGATAATTGACTAAATAAACATCCTACAAAGTTTCAATAAAAATTTCCAAGTTTTTCTTACAATTTCCGTGGTTTCCATGTAATTTTTATCGATATCGATATTTTACCGATATTTCCATCGATATTTCCGTGTTTTCGGACTACCGATATTTCCGATATCACCGATATTTTCTTCCTTGGTGTGTGTATATATATACAGATCCTTTAACAAGAGGGATCCCATTTTTAAAAAAAATTGATGACACCCTCTTTAGCGTTAAATTTAACTTTAATGAAATTGTGTGGTTGAGATTGTGTGGCCCGTAATTTAATCTCAACCATATAGTTTCATTAAAATCAATCCAATGGTCAAGAGAGTATTCCTATATTTTTTTGAAAAATGAGGATCCTTCTTGTTAAAGGGTCTGTGTGCGTGTGTGTGTATATATATCTGTATTATACACATTACGTCAAAAAAGTGTGATGCCCACATATTTGCTGTTATATATATGTTTGGATGGATGGGAAATGTTCAATAGCTCTAACTTTCTTTTCCTTAACATATATAACACTTGACGTGCACACTACTGTGGTATTGAGGTATTGAAAAACAGTCTTTTTGTATATACAAAGAAAGGTTATGAAGTAATGCCTAAGGGCAGGAATTCACTACTTTTCACGTGTTAAAGTTTGTGAGCCCGTCATCGCAACCAACACTACGACTACGGTTTAAACCTTGAGGAAACCAAAGGCACGAGGACACACCATTAGCCCAAGAACGAGCTTCCCCCACTAATTGCTGCTTGACTATGCGAATTGTACTTGGCCGACTAAATAAATATGTTTTCAATGTTTTAATATCAAATAAAAAAGGGACGATCAAGTGATCAAGAAAACGAGCTTCCACCGTCAATTGCTTGATACATTACTAATGATCAGCAGGCCCAAGCCCAAACCTTTTAAATTGGATTGATCTTGAGAGCAGCCTCTTTAGCTTTTAAAGACCAAGCCCAAAACTTTTAAATTGGCACAGCCCAGTCCATTTAGAAAAAGCATTAAATAACAATTGTCATTCAATTTTCAGTTAATTACCCGCCAACCCAAAACAAAACGGAAAAAACCATCCACCTCCTACTCTTAACCCGAGAGATTTTGCAATGTGATCAAAATAGAGGATGGTACACTACGTGTTATTATATAAATAATAAGATATATATGTTAAAATATTAATAACTTAAATATTAAAACTTTCCGCTACATATATACAAACAAGTAGTGTATCTCGTTCCTGTTACAGTAAAAAATTTCTTCCTTTAACCCTGACAATACAAATCCCTTCCGTGCAGCCGCCACGTGTTCTAACCAGAGCCAGTGCAGATGAATATCCCTCCCTCCACAGTTCCTTCTCGGTACACTGACTCAGCGACTCAGCGAGTCGGTTCATGCTCTGGGAACTCGGTACACTGACTCAGCGACTCAGCGACTCAGCGAGTCGTTTCATGCTCTGGAAACCATGAACCACAGAGCGCTTCTTTACTCCTCCTCTCCGAAACCCAACATCGTCCCGCCCGATATTTCGGCCACTAAGAGATGTTTCTGAAAGAATTTAAACTTGGTTTATAGAGACTGATTTCATAAACTCATCTCAATTGAATTCAATCCTTACTGCTCTTCAACAGCAGCATGTTCTTTATACAAGATTTACATACACGCATGCAATAATAAAGCTCACGCATGCAATAAACAACTACCCGAAAGTGTTTGTCTAGCTGTGTGAGTTTATACAATATTCTTCTGTCCATCTTCATCAGCATCTTCGACAAGGTCTCATGGCTTCCATTTAGAGTAATCATTTCAAGTCAGCAGCACATGGCTTAGCAGCACATGACTCAGGTCAAGTCAGCAGCACATGGCTTAGCAGTACATGACTCAGGTAGATCGAACTGCATGGATTGCTGACATGGAGTGGTGTGCTGACCTGGAGGAAATGTAGGTTTATCACGCCCCCGCAAGCGAAGCGGGCGTGGACGCACGGGAAGCTTGGAGAGTAGATAACGGAAACGAGGAGAGGATAGACCTTTGGTGAGAAAGTCTGCAATTTGATCAGCAGTGGCAACATAGCCAACTTGTAGTTCTTTGCGGACGACCTTTTCGCGAACGTAGTGGTAGTCAACTTCAACGTGTCGCATTCGCGCCTGATATACAGGATTAGAGGCAACAGCAAGGGCACTGATATTGTCGCACCACAACCGTGGTGGAGAAAGAGAAAGGTGCAGGTCACGAAAGATATGGCGGAACCAAGATAAAGTGGCTGCCGTATAAGCCAGCTGTCTGTACTCGGCCTCAGTGCTGGATCGAGACACTCCACGCTGTTTCTTGGAGCTCCAAGAGACGAGATTATGACCCAGAAAAATGCAATAACCCCCAGTTGAGCGCCGATCGTCAGGATCCCCGGCATAATCGGCATCAGCAAAGGCAGTGAGGGTGAGAGAGCTAGGTTTATAAACAATGCCGTGATCAGGAGTGGCTTTCAAGTATCGAAGTATGCGTTTTACAGCAGTCCAGTGAGTAGTGGTGGGAGAATGCATACATTTCCTCCAGGTCAGCACACCACTCCATGTCAGCAATCCATGCAGTTCGATCTACCTGAGTCATGTACTGCTAAGCCATGGAAAAAAAAAAAGATTGTGTCGTAAGACTTTCAGCTCTGATACCATGAAAGAATTTAAACTTGGTTTATAGAGACTGATTTCATAAACTCATCTCAATTGAATTCAATCCTTACTGCTCTTCAACAGCAGCATGTTCTTTATACAAGATTTACATACACGCATGCAATAATAAAGCTCACGCATGCAATAAACAACTACCCGAAAGTGTTTGTCTAGCTGTGTGAGTTTATACAATATTCTTCTGTCCATCTTCATCAGCATCTTCGACAAGGTCTCATGGCTTCCATTTAGAGTAATCATTTCAAGTCAGCAGCACATGGCTTAGCAGCACATGACTCAGGTCAAGTCAGCAGCACATGGCTTAGCAGTACATGACTCAGGTAGATCGAACTGCATGGATTGCTGACATGGAGTGGTGTGCTGACCTGGAGGAAATGTAGGTTTATCAGTTTCGGCACCGATCACCCGAGACCCCAAACGCCGGTTCGGTTTCGCGTGGGATTTCGGAACCGTGAGCAGAACTGCTGTTTCGTACGCGTCTCGGGCGGCGGCGGTAATCGGAGGAGCAGGAAAGTGTTTGGGGATGTTAAATCGGTGTGGATAAGTTCGAGAATGGGCTGAACGATGTCGTCTCGGGGAAGGAGGATTTGGAGGTGGAGTCCGCGGCGGAGGTTTCGTGGTTACAAGAGTTTCCGAAACGATGGGTCATTGTCGTTTTGTGCTTTTCGGCCTTCCTTCTGTGCAACATGGACAGAGTAAGCTTAAAGCTTGAACCTTTAACGACAATGAAATGTGTCACGGAGACGATTGCTGCATATGCAGTACCATCTCCAAGTGAAGGATGATGATCGTCTTTTTCTTCGGTTGGATCCCTTCAACGACAATACCAATACTACTAATTGTAGTATTGGTGATGATATTATTCATCGTAAAAGGGAATTCGTTGTATTTGATTCACTGCATGTACACACCAGTTATATGCGTTTTTTTGTAAGATATTCCTTGTGCCTTAAGTAATATGAAACCCGGGTTTGAATTATTACCATTCTGTTTTGTAATAATTTGTATGTACATATGACTTTAAATCATAAATTCATCAGGCAGTCTTCCCTTCCAACATAGATGGAGGAAGATGGAGGAAGGCTGCTTATTTAGTATTACACACTCACGAAAAAGAAATATTTACAGCGTACACGCAATGCCCCGACCAACGTAGATGTAGGGAGGCAGCTTATTGTACAGAAACTAAACAACTTAGGTTATAAATTTAGAATGCAATGCATTGTCTCTCTCTTCAACCGGCTGCGTACACTTTGAGTTTCACCATCATGCAGGATTCCAGAAACACGTCGTCTCAAGGCTTTCCGTCCAGCTTCAGATCCCTCTGCAAGTCAATCATATAGAGCCTTTTAACATAATTAGTTGATTATAATACTTTGCTTGAGATGTGTACGTGTTAAGCATGCATGAAATACATCTCAAGCTACAAGCAAATTAATGATTGCCTAATAGAGATGAACGGAATACTGTACGAACTTGTCCTGCATTGCGAGATGCTTGGCATCATTCTGCAACCATTTTTCCTTTTGAAGCTTGTCCTGCAAATTCAAACACGTACGCATCTTAATCCTCGGAGTTGTTATGAAATCGATTCTCCTTCCCAAATGGGAATTTCCGAACATGAAAACTTGTGTGGTACGTTTTGGTCTACCACATAAGCTGGATACAAACCAAAACATATAAACAACTGACTTGCGACTAGAGTATGGAAGACAATAAATTAAATTCAAATTCCTAGACATACCTACGCAAGCGCAGCTCCCACCAAGATGGTACCAAGCTGCTGAAGAAGATGATGGTGATGAGGTTGCAGTTTCGGTGGATGGCATCCCTATTTCCGGATCAGGGATATCTTTGATCTTGGGCCAATCACTGCCTTCCTTCCCACATTGTTTTATCAGCGAGGCGCAGCGTTGGATAGAGAGATGCAGGAGGGAGGTTGGTAGCCCACCCTCTGGAAAGGACTGGAGTGCAGGGCAATCCTCAATGTACAGATCATGGAGGGAGTTGAGGTTTTGGAGTGCATCCGCGGGGCCAAATGACTCGAGCCTTGCACACGAGCCAATACTCAAATACTTAAGAGATGTTGGGAGGCCTTCAGCTGGCAACGTTACAAGCTCAGGACAATTGTGGATGGAGAGTGTTGTGAGGGAGGTGAATCCTTGGAACAACTTGTTTTCTTGGTTGGATAAATACTCAAGAGCTTTGCAGTCACGGATGTAGAGTGCTCTGAGTTTGGGGAGACCCCAATCTGGAAGATGTATGAGGTTTGAGATATTGGAAATCGTCAAGAACCATAAACCAGAGATAATACCAGGCCGCAAACCCACTAATGTTTTAGCATCTGCAGAACATGTATCCAATGCCAAATGTCGAAGTTCCTTCTTTTGTAGAGACTTCCATAAAGAACCTCTTTCTAGCATTTTGATTACTGAATTGCACCCACCTGTTTCCAATTTCTCTAGATTGAAGCAGTTAGGCACCTTATGTAGCTCGGGGCAATTGATGATTATGAGTTCATTCAATCTTAAGAGCCCAATTGAAAGCCCAAACAGGCGAGGATTGCTTACAGACCACCTCTGCAGAACAGGATTGTCAACAAGCGTGATATTCTTCGGGCGGACGAGGTAGTTTATTTTAAGGCTTACCAATGATTCACACCTTTTGATCTTCAGAAAATCAAGTCCTTTCGAATAATTTTCACAACTTTTCAAATTCGGGCAGTTAGCTATCTTTAGCTTTTTGAGGGATACAAACGTTCCTTTCCAATCCTCCAACTCTAGCAAATTTTTGAGACGGAACTCTTCAAGTTTCGGTAGCACCCCAAGATCAAGGACTTTGGATCTGTTGCAATTATTCAAATGAATACTAACCAAATTGGTGAGCAGTCCCATCCATCGTGGAAATTCAGTGCCCTTGTAGTGACAGATTTGGAGCTCTTTGAGTGCCTCTGGGTGAGGTTCCAAGTCTTCAAGTACCTGCTTTGCATCGGCTTCATCATGAAAATTAAGATCCTTATTGCTCCATTCATAAACCACTTTCTGAATCATTTTTTTCCCTTTCAAGTTGGCCTCCCCTGCATACACTGCATTTTCCAGCTTTGTGATGTGCAACGTTCCTCCAAGGTACACCATGTTCTTCAATTCTTCAAGTTTGTATCCTGTTTCTTGGCTAACCTGAAGAGATATATATATATATATTTTGTAAGATAGAGGTTTGACCCCACTCAACAACAAGAAAAGGATTGGAAAAATCAAAATATAAATATATTTGAAGAAAAAAACAAAAAACAAACCGGAAATTTGTGCAAGTTGTGCAGACTGGTTAGACACCCCATGCTTCGTGGCAACTTCAAGGCCTTGTACCAGAAAATTTCATCTAGCTCCAGATGTCTCAGGTTGACAAGAGCTTTGAAGTTCTTGGGCAAATTGAAAATCCAAGGACAACGCAAAAGTTTCAGCGTCTCCAAATTGAGGAGGTTGCATACCGAGTCAGGGAGCTTTCTGATTTCAGTTGTCGATAAATCGAGGTAGCGCAAGAGCTTCAACCTCCCAATTGAATCTGGAAGTGTGACAACTGTGCTTGAACTCAGGTCTAGCACGCGCATATATGTAAGTGAATGAATTATCTCACCTTGTCCTTTCCCAAAGGCTCTCAGTTGCAAGTGTTGAACTGGAAGTAAAAGTGTGCGCAGCTTCTTCGATTTGTTGGCGATCTCTATTGCAGGCTTCTCAACTTGTTCTGAAAGCAGTGATATATGACGAGATTTTTCGTCAAAATCTTTCATATCATTCACTTGACAACAAAAGGGACTGGAAACTGAAAGTGCCAGATCATGGATAAGATCATGCATCCTATACTTTGTCTTGTCTTCAGTTGAGCATTCGAAGAAGAACCTGTCTGACAGCTCCTTGAAGTATCGACTTCCGATGTCTTCTATCCTCTCTCGCACTCCGTTCTCAGGTGGTTGTATAAATCCTTCTGCCATCCATAACTTGACCAACTCATCCTTCTCATAGAGATATGATTTCGGAAACAGAGAACACAACGAAAAGCACTGCTTGTGATCTGGTGAGGGCAGGTGATTATAACTCAGTCTAAGAGCAGGCAGTACTCCAGTATCATCTTCTGCTCGTGCCTTCCATGTTTGACTTTTGGCAACATTTTTCCATTCTTTCAAGTTTTTCCCACGCAACAGACCTGCCATTTGTTTTATAGCCAAAGGAAGACCCTGACACATACGTACAATTTCCCGTCCACAATTTTCAAACTCCCGACGTTCGCTATCTCTCAAGTTACTATCTTCTTTGAGTGCCAATTTTTTGAACAACGACCATGACTCATCATCACCCAAACATTTCAGAGAATGGAGTGACTTTGAATCCATAAAACTTGAAACAATTTTCTGCCGACTAGTCACCAGAACCTTACTTCCGTTGACCCCCACATTTAAGACATTCACTAGTTGCTGCAATGCTTCATGATTCCACAGGTCGTCTAGAACAAGTAAAAATCGTTTCCGAGCCAGAAGTTCACGAATGCGAGTTTGTAGTTGGTCCAAGGAGAGAGAGGTGAAGTCAGTATTCTCAGTACGGGTTTGGAATCGTTCTAAGTAGTTGGAGTAGAGACCATGAAGGATTTTTAGTTGGGGCAAGTTGAGAGGGTTGAGATCATTGGGGGAAGGTAGTTGGTTCAACTCGAGGGAACAGGCATCTTCAAACGAGATATTTAGTTTGTCGAAGATGGAAGAGTTGGGATCGACAGGGGTTTGGGGTTTGTCGAAGATGGGATAGTTGAGATCGACATGGGTTTGGAGTTGAGATTTTTTTTCATCTAACATATTTAGTAAAGACTCTATTGGTTTTGTTCTTTTCAAATTTGATGAATGCACTAGAGAGACCAGTATTTCTGTGAAAATCCTCTTCAACTCAAAATCCTTCCCCACATGAACCCAAATTCTAAAACGGAAATACCCATCAACCTTTTCATCTTGAAAGACAAGTTGTGCAAGAGTGGTTTTACCCACTCCTCCCATCCCAACAATGGCAATACATGAAAAGTTTCCCCTACTGGCTTCTTTAGCTGTTATCAGCTGTTCTATGATGATCCTTTTTTCCTCTTCCCTACTAACAACTGAACTGTATGGAACGGACACAGTTTCCCGTGGATTTTCATGTGTTTGTGAATGCATAGGATTACTTTCTATCATTTTTCTGTAGAATTTTCCATCTTCTTTAATCACATGTAGTCTTGATGTAATTTCTCTCAACTTAGACAATAAACGATGCAGAAAGAGAAACTTAAAAGCACCAAACAGAAGATGGAATTTGTGTACCTGCTGCTGCTGCTGCTTCTTCATCTTCCACCATTCACATTCTGCTGCCCAACAGTCGATCAAATCCTCAATATCATAAGATGCTGCTCGTAGCCTTTCGAACCAATTCTTCAGGGTGGAAGGAGTAGAAGAATTCATCTGATGATTTCCTTCCAAAATTTTAAGCAAATCTTGAACTTCCATAAAAGAAAGTTTCAGCCTCTCTACCTCATCCTCGATATTTACGAATTCATTAGTCGCAACATTAGCCAGTTTCTTCGTTGCAATCTCTACAATAGGACTTGCAAGGCTGATAAGTAAGTCAGCCATGTTGCTATTTTCTTCCGAATTAAAATGGAAAGCCGAAAACAACAAATGGACAAGAAGAAACGAGGGTGAAAGAAAGGAAACACAAATATTGTGTCATTTGGAGTCTGGAGAGACAATCCGGCTGTGTTTCTTGAATTAATGGATGATGCTTTGAAGAGAGCGATATATATAGCCGAGGCATGTGACACTTAAATTCTGGAACAATTTGATACTTTCCTTTGGTTGAAAAGATTGGAAGGCTTGAGCAGCACCAGAAGAATACTTGACAACACTCAAAGAACTTAGAATACTTGAACATACAGAAAAATCAAGGAATGACTCATGCAGAGAGGAGAACAAATTCCCGTCCTCTCTCTGTCATTGAACTTCCCAAAGAATGATTAGAATGTCATGGTAAGCAGCTCTTCCGAGCTAGAACCTTAGAAATTCACAAAAAACGTGGCTCACAAGAAAATATCAACGTTTCTGCAAGGAAAATTTTCCTTGGTGCGAAAGTGAGGAATTTTCCCTTGCTTCTAACCTCGTCCCATGGAGATGCTCTAAAAACACTCAAAAGCATAAACAAACCAACCAATTCCGGATGCAGCACTCAAAGAATATAGTGCGAACGCATCTTTCACCAACAACTAGAAATTATGTGGAAGGTCAGGATGTTAGTCGTTCCTCCTAAACTGGTATGTTTTAAGAAGCCAGGAAGGACGAAGAGGTTTTTTACTTTTGCACTGTGGGTGAAGTTATTATTATTTTATATTTCTACTTTTAATCTTTTCACAATAATAGTGTTTTTAATGGCATTTCCGCAAGTTATAAATAGAAAAGAATGATTCAGATATGATTTCTAGACAAATATCTTTCTTAATCAATTTCTTGCATGACCCGTTAATCTGACATGACATGTTAATGAATCGAATCGTTACTGAGTCACCTGTTAAAAACCTGTTATCTTAACGAGTTTGACATGACACGATTCGTTAAGATAACGGGTATGACACAAAAACACTACGAACACGACAAACATGACCAGTTTGCCAAGCCTACCTAACACCATCTCTCACACATAGTAGCCACCGTGTGTGGACAGATCTGGACCATATAAGTGAATAGCCCTGCTGACTCACATGATTAAACTGTAATTGAAGGAATGGGTTTGGAGTCTTTCGGACCACAACCTTCTGGAACCAAATATCTCCTCCCTGTTAGACATCCATTCTACTCTTGCGCTGTCAAGGACTGAGTTAACAACGCATATCAAACTAAGCTAACATTGATCAAGATGAGTCATACAAAGATGAAAAAATCAAAGCTAAAACATATCAAAAGAAAATAAACTATTACTCCGGAGGTCCACTTGTATATATGTATGCATAGGGGAGAATGAATACTAAAATGACATTCCGTGCCGGCGGCATTCGGCACAGATTTTATGTATGTATCTATATTAACATAAATGCTAGACTGATGTAGCAATCTGGCTACAAATGCATGGTGTTATACGCAAGGTCTTTAGCTATCTATCACTTGGGGGGGGTCCTCCATACTGTTTTCGGAATTGTTATAAGGAGACCGGGTATGGCAAATTTCACAAGCGGAATTTAACTCATGTCTTCTAGATGCCTACAGTTTTCAACATGAAAAAGAGAATTTTTACGTCCTTGATTCACAGGGATGACATTGAGGTAGCCAAACTAACGTGGTGTATGCGACCTAGATGTCCGAGGACGGTTCAAGATGTCAGAGCTCTCATCAGGAGTTGTTTATGAGATTGCCTACATTGTTAAATTAACAAATGGAGCATCCGGATGGGAACTCCCTGTTACATTCAAAATCAATTTCCCAGGGCAGGGCGGAACAGAAAAGAAGCGCCGATATAGTCTCCTAGAGAAGCCGAAAGGACTGTGGATGGAGAAACTGGAGAAGTGATCTTTGATCTTTGTATTCATGACAAGCCCTCCAAAAGTGGGCTTATCATTAAAGGTATCATTATCAAGCCAAAAGAATTGAACAGCTCAGGCCAAAAGAATTGAACAGATCTTAAATCCTAAATGTTCGATCTGTTAAGAACACCTACCAAAAGATTTGTACATAGAGGCACAGAAACTTATTTGATCCTTGAGAGCCAATTCTTATGAAGTTACCATGGACTTATCAAGTCAGCCGATGAAAACTTAAAGTATTATAGTGCATGAACTTGAATTTAAGAGTTAAGCAAATTCCATCAAACTTCGTATACGTACATGCACTCTCTTTAAAATCTCTTCAAATCTTAACTTGATTACCCCCCCTAACTGTATTTAGATTAAAGAAAATTAGGCAAGTGGTAAAATTATCCTTTGGTTAGGATGGTTCTTTTAAGCACACCGCATCTCAGGTTCAAATATACCTCATCACCATGTCCCTCCAACTAGTGTAAATTAAAGTAGTACTCTCCCTTGTAAAACTAAATAAAAAATAAAACATAAAATTTAAAGATTAAAAGAGCTCAAAAAAACCGGTGTGCAATCCGGTCGGCTCTTGTCCACGTTCTAAATCACTGTCGTGTCACTTATATTGGGCCTGTTTTCATGTTTTTTAAAAAAAACTAAAAATGTTTTTGGTGAAAATGTTTTTGGAACCAATCCTTAGTAAAAAAAAAAAAAAAAACCAAGTGAATCTTGAAAAAACATTTCAAGTTAAATAAAGCGTTGAAGAAAAAGAAATTGATAAATTCATGCATATGTGAATGAATGTGAGGTGTTAATGCATGTAGGCTGCATAATTCATTTAATAATTATTCTTCCTTTGTGGTGGGAACAAAGATAAAAAGTCCTTAACAATAAGTATTCAGTTTCTTTAGAAAAAAACAAAAAAAAAAAAACATAAAAAGGCCATACTTCTGAAATTCAAATTGCTTGACATGACTGACCTACAAAGCGTTTTGGTTCCGTCCACGTTATAGTCACTATTGAGCTTGAGCATCTGAAAAATCTGTGGACATTATGTGCAGTTTAGGCATTTTCTTGTGCAAGGTATGATGGGTAAGTGACCCAAGAGAACAAATTTCATTGGGACACAAGTGTTATCAATTTATCATAGTTATTTTAGAGGGACACTTAGAGAGAAATTTCAATTAAGATCATTCATGAAACAAAGATTGGACTGATTTTGGAGTCACGGTAAGAGAATATTGCATACTGTTAGATATATTCATTTCTCTGTTCATACATTTTACGTAAAAAATATCGTGCCACGGATGGACATATATTTATTAAAAATTCAAGTGTTTTACAGAAAATCCACTTGAAAATTCTTTTTAAATAAGCATATGACATGTGGTTTCTTTAACCCATGAGCACTCTTAAGTCAGAAACACGTTTAATTGTAAATAAAAAATTATTAAAAAAAAAACAAACATTTTTCTAGACCTCACAAGAGCAGCCCCTTCAGTTTTGAAAGGTAGAAGAAGCATTAACTACCAATTGGAATTCAATTTTCAGTTAATCACCCGCCAACCCAAAAGACAGCGGAAAAAACCGTCCGCCTCCTACCCTTACCCCTAAAATCCAAATCCGTTCTGTGCAACCGCCACGTGTTCTAACCACAGCCAGTGCAGATAAATATCCATCCATAGTTCCTCTCTCCAAAAATCTTCCCCGACCTTATAGAATATGCGTTTCGCTCCCTGCGAAGCTGGGAACTCGGTACACTGACTCAGCGACTCAGCGAGTCGTTTCATGCTCTGGAAACCATGAACCCCAGAGCGCTTCTTTACTCCTTCTCTCCGAAACCCAACATCGTCCCGCCCGATATTTCGGCCACCAAGAGAAGTTTCGGCGCCGATAACCCGAGACACCAACCGTCGTTTCGGTTTCGCGTGCGGATTCGGAACCGTGAGCAGTACTGCTGTTTTTTACGCGTTTCGAGCGGCGGCGGCGGTAACCGGAGGAGCGGGAAAGTGTTTGCGGATGTTAAATCGGTGGATAAGTTCGAGAAGGGGTTGGACAAGGTCGTTGCGGGGAAGGAGGATTTGGAGGTGGAGTCCGCGGCGGAGGTTTCGTGGTTACAAGAGTTTCCGAAACGATGGGTGATTGTCGTTTTGTGCTTTTCTGCTTTCCTTCTCTGCAACATGGACAGAGTAAGCTTAAAGCTTGAAGCTTTAATGGTTATGCAATTTGGAAATGGTAATTAAAAATGGACAGAGAAAGTTAATTACAGCAGTAAAAAAGTAACTTTTTGTGAATTGTGGCAGGTAAATATGAGCATTGCAATACTACCCATGTCAGCAGAGTACAATTGGAACTCAGCAACTGTGGGTTTGATACAGTCTTCTTTCTTCTGGGGATACCTCCTCACTCAGGTTAATTACATTTATGCACTTCTTCTAGTTAGTAATTACATTACATTTTTTAAGTTTATATGTGATAGGGTCAATCGAGTTTAGTAGAGGGCATAGTACCCGCTCTATTGTACCCGAGTTTGTCAAATCATTTTTCCGTAGATTAGACTAGTTCAGAATATCGTGATTTTAAATAAAAATAAGTCAATTACCAAGTACTTTCCTTTTTGTCCCGTAACATTGATGACACATTCCTGATGTTCCATCAAAGATTCAAAAGTATAGCTTGTGAGAAACTTTTTGGTTTTTCTTTTAGTTACGTTAGAGGGAATCAAATTATGGACTTACCGTAATCTAATCTATTAATACGCCCTCCCTCAGGACTCAAACGCTTAGTGTTTTATCCTTCTTTTTTTTTTTTTTGGTTAACTTATGACTGTGAGTGGCAGATTGCTGGTGGAATATGGGCAGACACAGTAGGTGGTAAGCAAGTATTGGCATTTGGAGTCATTTGGTGGTCCATTGCTACTATTCTCACTCCTGTTGCCGCTAAAATTGGATTACCTTTCCTACTTGTTGTTCGTGCATTCATGGGGATTGGTGAGGTTGGTCTTCTATAATTTATCAGTAATCTGTAGGAAATTGGTTGTTTATCGATCACTATTTACTATGATTATTTGTTAACTTTTGCTAATACTAATCACTATGGTTATTCGTTAACTTTTACTAATTACTATTCACTTAGTCTGCTTCTCTTTTCAGGGTGTTGCTATGCCTGCAATGAATAATATACTGTCGAAATGGATTCCTGTAGCAGAGAGAAGTAGATCTTTGGCTCTGGTTTACAGTGGAATGTATCTTGGATCAGTCACCGGCTTGGCCTTTTCACCATTTCTAATACATCAGTTTGGATGGCCATCAGTCTTTTACTCCTTTGGTTCTCTGGGGACGGTCTGGTTCGCTCTATGGATAAGTAAGGTGAGTGACTTTTACCCCATCTCAGATTAGTATTTCTTTCTCAGGAAACATGTGACTTGCAACCTAAGGTACAACTTTTTGCTATAAGTTTGGTATTTATAAGTAATGTCATTGACTTTTTATTTTTTCTTTACTGATGTATAAGTTTTATATTTGATTTATTTTTCGTGTGGCTGTTGATGTAGGCGCACAGTTCACCTCTTGAGGATCCTGAACTGCGACCAGCGGAGAAGAAGCTTATTCTTGCGAGTAGTATTTCCAAGGAACCTGTTAAACAGATTCCTTGGAAATTAATTTGTCAAAAGCACCTGTTTGGGCCCTGATAGTGTCTCACTTCTGCCACAATTGGGGAACATTTATTCTTCTCACATGGATGCCAACTTACTATAACCAAGCAAGTCATCATTTCTTGCATTTGTTACCCTAGTTTCATGCCGCATAGTTTTCCTTTTAGTATAAAAGTTAACTATCTTGTGGCTTTGTCAAAGTAGACGGTACTACAAAATGGGTTTAATGCTTGTTGCTGCGTAAGTGGCTAAGTGTTCAATCAGGCCTGAAATTGCAAGTTGAATACTGATTTTACCATTAATCCAACCATTAGGTACTGAAGTTCAATCTTACCGAATCAGGGCTATTCTGCGTCCTGCCCTGGCTAACAATGGCATTTTCTGCAAATCTTGGAGGGTGGATTGCAGACACTCTTGTCAGCAAGGGCTACTCTGTGACAAGGGTTCGGAAGGTATCATATTTCATCATCTTTTTTAATCTAAACCAAACATTATTTGGGGAACAGTTTTCCGAGATAGAAATCACATTTTCTAATTCAGCTGTCGCGTTACTAATCTATATCATCCATCGCAGATTATGCAAACAATTGGGTTTCTAGGCCCTGCTTTCTTCCTAACACAGTTGAGCCATATTAATTCTCCTGCAATGGCTGTTCTATGCATGGCATGCAGTCAGGTATGCTTCGTTTCAAAGCTTGGTACAATTGCTTAATATTTTTGTTGTTCATTCAATAATTAGCTATCATGTGCCTTATCTTGTTTTGTTTCTTTTGCTTAAATAGGGAACTGATGCATTCTCGCAATCTGGTCTATATTCAAACCATCAAGATATCGCTCCACGATATTCTGTAAGTATTGGTTTAGTTTCTGGTTTTGTCTTGCCCGTGCCAGTTTCTACTGTGTGTTAGAACCATAAATCAAATATCCACGGAGTTCCAACATAAGCCTATCAGTCAATTGGCAATTGTGTGCTATTTGGATTTGTAGTATTGTATCTCAGAGTGAAGAGTAGGAGAAAACTGCGGTTCTAATGATCTTTGTTCCTACTGTTTCTCAGGGGGTATTGCTTGGTATGTCAAATACAGCTGGAGTGCTGGCAGGCGTCTTTGGAACAGCATCCACTGGTTACATTTTACAACACGGTCAGTCTCCATTTATTGAAATTTTAGTTTGCATTTCACGCGTTAGCAGAAATCAAATTGCCCGAATTTGTTGGCCTTGAGGACATCAAGTTGTAATCCATTGGCAACAAGCTGATTCTAACACCCCTCCCTCTCCACATTGATATTTTTCAGGTTCTTGGGATGATGTATTCAAGGTTTCGGTAGGCCTTTACCTGGTCGGAACTGTTGTCTGGAATCTGTTCTCAACTGGCGAAAAGATCATAGATTAGTTCACAGATAACTTGATTCTTAATAATCGCCGGCACTTCATTCCTGAGCTTTTATAGTTCAGAGTTATATTGGAGGAGAGAGGTAGCAAAAATGCCAAGAAATTGAACTTGGAAGGAAAGCAGTGTCATTTTAGTGACAGTCTTGGACTTGCAGAAGAACTGTTACAAAGATTTTGACATGGAACTGGAAGCTTGAAATCGAAAGAGTGAGGTGCTAGCTAATTCTTCCCTGCCTGCAACATTTGAAGTTTCATAAACCGGCAGCATTTCATACAAATTTTTCATGAATGATGAATATACTAGTAAAATTAAATGATCCCCCAACACACAGCCATTTTCTGTAAATGTTGTATATTGTAATTTGTATGTACATGCATTTCCCATTAATATACCCTTTTTTACTACGAATGTGCTTCTAAAATTGCTAAAAGCACTTTTTTCAGAAGTACTTTTGGAACAAATCCTTAGTAACAATACAAGTGAGTTTTGAAAAAACACTTAAAGTGCTTCGTGCAGTGGTGTTTATTGCAGAAAACATTTCAAGTGTTATGGGAACCCAAAAATAATTTAACCAAAAACACTTAAAAGCACTTCCAATCAAAATGCGTGTTGGTATGGGCTTGTTTGATGTTTAAGATTGAAATCGAAAAGAGAGTTTACAATGTCCAAATTATGTTGAATGATTTGACCAACAAAAAATAAAATATGCCGAATGAGCGAAATGAAAAAGTGTGTCTAACTTGAAGGTGTCTCTCCTACAAGTTGGTTGGCTACAAACTGATTTGTTAATATTGACTTACGGAAACAAGTCTCGCTTCTATAAGATTTGTACTCAACAATCCGATTAACTATTATTGACACGTAATACACTTAGTTATACTATATCAAGATTATAAGTTGCGATAAATGTTTGTCAAAACAAGAAGAGAATGATTGGGTTGAGACATAAATCAAAACTTAAAACTAAAGTAATACGATCAATTTATCCTTGCACCTGAAATTTTGTGTTCAACTCTCCCTGCCTTGTATCCTTTGTGCAAACAAAAATATCACACTTATGCTACTTATTTAAAATGTTGAAACAATTTGCTAATCTAGTTTAGATATTACATGTATAGAATATGCTTAAAGAGTATTAATGATATTTTATTGATATTGATAAAAGTATTAGTTATAAAAACCCACATAAAATGGTATGGAATATAATTAACAATGTAAGGACATCATCAAATCTTCCAACTTAGGTGAGCAACCCTCACTCACCCATTCAACCCACCCACCCAATAAAAACCAACAACATTTGACAACATTATACATTTTAAAAGTAAAAACAAATTAAATGACTTCTGTATCCCCATCATCCCTGAGAGATTTTCAGTGTGTCTGAAACACGAATACATATGTCATACATCATCATACAAGTGAAAAGAAACTTTTTCTACTTGCATAATAATATATAATATATGGCTCCGTGTTTTCAGCATATTAAAAAATTTCTTCACACACATGCCAACAATCCCGAAAATACCTCTGCCTATGCTGAGGTGGCAGCCACATGACCTGGCCCAACACCTAGCTTACGTGGATGCAAATGCACCTGAAGCCCCTTCTTCATGAAGAGCGTGAGCGACATCTTCTGCTGGGCCCGGAAACCGGGAACTGGAGACAGCCGGTAACGCAAAAGCACGGCGGAAACCACCGATTTCATCTGCAGGTAAGCCAAGTCCTTCCCCAAACAAGTCCTCGGTCCACCATTGAACGCCACGAACTTGTAACCGTCCTTGGGCGGTTCGAACCGGTTCCCGTCGGCCGAGATCCACCTTTCCGGTTTAAACTCCATGCAATCCTCACCCCAAATGCTCTTCATCCTCCCCACCGAGTAAATCGAATACGTCACCGTCGAACCGGCCGGCACGAAAGTCCCGTCAGGCAGAACGTCGTCTTTCACGACGTATTTGAAATCCTCCGGCACGGAGGGGTATAGTCGTAAAGTCTCAGCCAGCGCTGCCTTCAAGTAAACCAATTTATCCGCCTCGTCGAACGCCAAGGGCTCCTCCGTCCATAGCCGCGGATCATCACCACGTGTCTGTTTCAGCACCTTCGAGATCTCGGCGATGATTTTCTCCTCGATGTGGGGATTTTCCATGATGAGGTGGAAGAACCAGCTGAGCGCAACCGACGACGTGTCGCGGCCGGCGAGGACGAAGTTAAGAGCGATGCGCTGGAGGACCGCGCTTGGGAATGGGTTGCCGTCGACGTCGCGCTTGTTCATGAAGCGGGAGATGAGGTCGTCGGACGGTGTCAACTTGCGGGCGGCGACGGCGTCGTTCATGTAGTCCCCAACGACTTTGAGGCTCTTCTCGAGCTGTCGCTCGGCGCCGAGACCGAAGAACTTCTGGATTCTCCATAGGAAAGCGGGGTAGAGGAGGCGCTGGAGGGTGGCTTCAGTGGCGTTGTCGAAAGCCTTTGCAAATGGGTTGTCGGGTAGATCCGGCGACAGCGTTTCCGGGTCCTTGCCTGGTGGGAAAATGTTAGTTTGAATATCGCCACATAATAACTATAATAACTACCATGCACAGTTTTACAAATTTACCTTTTTTGAACTTAGATTTAAATAATTTTGCATTTTGGTCCCGACAAGTTAAACATTTTCAATCTCATCTTATAGTTAGAAACATTTAGACCATTTGGTTAATTTGCCAAATTTTATCATTTCGATAAATTTGTCAAGCATGTAGATACAATTTTGAATATCAAAAGTATAAGGACCAGGATAATATTTACTGTAAACAGGGGGGAGAAAAGTGTAATTTAATTTATTTTTTTTAAATTACATTTTTAATAAATTTTGAGAGTTAATTTTGAACATTACCGAATGTGAGTCCACAAATGTTGTCGAATGTCAAGCGAAGCAGAAGGTCCTGCAAGTCCACCGCGATGTGATCTCTCTCCGCCTTATCCAAAATGCACCAAAGCCGGTTCCTGATCGTCCGGTTCACCCACCGAGCCATGGCCTGCCTCAACGTCCGTGTCGTGAACTCCAAAGCAGCCGTCTTCCTCTGTATCAGCCACGTCTCTCCGTCGCTGTTGAATATCCCTTCCCCCAAAAGGTCATGAAAAGCTGCCTGCCACGTCGGGCCCTTGGGATAATTATCGAACCGGGCACGGAGAATATGCTCGATGTTTTTAGGGTTGCTTGTCACGGTGTACAACCCTTGCTTGCGAGCCACGAAGGGGAGAGCAAGCGTGCATGTTTGGTAGGTGGCGGAACCGCCGGTGGCGCGGAGGTTGCTCGTGATCCAATCATGGATTTGCTTCCGATTTGAGTAGAGTAACGGAAGGCTGCCCACAACTGGCCAGACGCTCGGGCCGGTGAGTTTTCTAGCCAAGAGGTAGAACCAGAAGAGGTATACGGATGTGGCAGCAAATAGGGCGGAGAGAATCGGTAGGGTTTCCATTTTAGCTAGCTATATCAGTGTTGAGGTTATAGAATTGGGCGATCGAGCAGTATATACTAAGAGAAAAAGTGTGACGGGTGTATATATAAAGATTGATATAAATATTAATGGGAAGTTTTGTAGGAAGAGTTGTTGGGAAATTTGGGGCATTCGTACAAGTCGCTGCCCAATTGAACCTAATTAGAAAGGTTTAAATATTAATTTAAGGGGTTTATATTGTTAATCTGAGTAGGAGATATTTTTCAGTGTAACCGTCACACGAGGAGGTACACCACGTGTCCCTATAAAAATAGTGGGTTATGTGTGTTAAAAGATTAATAACTTAGAAATTAAAAATTTCCACCACTTGTATAAAAACACGTGGTGTACCATCCGTATTCCCGTCATAACTAAAAGTTTCTCTTTGAGTAGGTGGAGGGAAGATATTAGCTTATGGGGGGGGGGGGTTAATTATCCGAAGTAAAATGATTATTTACTGGTTAATTAGGTAGGGTTTTAATTAACTTGCTTTGAACTGTCTTAGTGTTGCTTTGGTGACTGGCCAAAAGCAAAAGCAATCGACATGTTAACGTACGCTACCATTGATTTTAGTATCATTTTCAACCCTCGTACGTGGCATTGTCTTACTATATGGTTAATTACTTAATTTCGAAAGATGATGCTTACATTGTAATTTAGAAAGATCACGCTTACAAATGGTAACTTAGAAAGATGATGCTGGCATGAAATGGGCCTTATAAACATGTTCTGGAAATGGGTGTGATATTCACACATTATATTTTATTTCTCACACACCTTTTTAATTTTTGGTCGTCGGATTAAATAAATTGAAAAAGATCAACATACATAAATTATCAAGGGATGTGTGAGAAGTAAAATAGGATGTGTATATAGCACACCCTTCTGGAATATACTGTGTTTGATATAATTGAAAAGAAGAAGAAACTACTAAAAGAATTGAGATTTAAAACACAACTTTGTTCTTGCTACCCAATTTGCATCTTTTGACTTCTTGTTCAATTCGTTCTGTCATCTAATCTATGCAAACATGTGATTGTTACACTTTACATGTGTTAACTTGCTATAATACTATGAATGAAAGTTCAACCATAAAACCAATTAGCAATATAGGGAGTAACCCAACTTTTCATAAGCATGTTTAATATTTGAAGAACTTCTAACATATAAGAGACAATTATTCACAGCCTCACAATTAAATAGATGATTAAAGTTCAAGGCCTTACTAGCTAGCGTTCTTATAAAACACTAACAATGGTTAAAAGAACATAACATTTTCCCTATTATTAACCATCAAATTTCATCTAATGACTTGGTTAACATTCAAAATTAGGAGGTTAACTTAGAGGATATAATTAGAATTAATAATAGGACAAACATAAGGATATGTAGTGGTTCACTCATAAACGGAGCTACGTCCATTGTAGTTTATATATAATTGTATGAGGTTACAAATGTACATGAAATGGCTCAAAGCTTTCATTTGGCATGGAGAAACCAAAGAACAATAGGTTTTCCCCATCCAAGCAGTACTAGTACAAAAAATACTTGCGCGATGTAGCAAATTACGTTGCCCAAGGACATTTTGCGCAACGTTGACAACTAAGCGTCAAGTAAGGACATTTTGCGCGACGAATCTTCACCTTTGTCGCGCAATGGTGGAAAAAAAAGCCGTAAAAGTCTTGGTTTGGCTCCAAAATCTTGCCCGACTCACAAACCGCGTTGTGTAAACGGCCTTTGCACAACGTTTTGCTTCATCGTTGCACAAAGATTATCTGCGCGACACTCGCGCAAGTTTTTGGCACCAAACCAGACTTCAACCTCTTTTTTCCCAACATTGCGCAACGAAGGTACACTTTTGTTCTGCAAAACTGTTTGCTCGATGAAGGTCTTCGTTGCGTAAAACTGTGTGTATTAGTTTTTCCACATCTCTAAAGTGACGGTTGGATCATTGAATGGGTGATTTATCTTTGATCTTCATTAAAGGGAGTTCTAAATCCTATTTTTGCAAATTTTATTTTGTTGTTCAATTTTTTATCTTTATGTGGTATTTCATTTCTTTGCTTTGATGAATGCATTGTGTGTATTAGTTTTTGCAAACATAGAGGACAATGTTTCATTTAAATTTGGGGGTGGGCACTTTAATTTTTGTGTTTTCATTGCTTTTGTTTTAAGAATTGTTAAAAAACAATATATATATATATATATATATATTAGGTCTCAAGTGGGCATTACATTGGGGTCTGCTGCTCAAGCGTGATTTTTCTTCCACTTAAGGGGAAAGTAGTATGTGTTCTGTTGCTCCAGTGGCCACGTAGTCTGCTCAAGCGAAAAGTAGTATGTGTTATATTTTTGCGTGACGTACAAACCAATACGTCACTCAAAGGTTGTTTGCGCGATGTATCAACCAATGCGTCACGCAAAAGTTGTTTGCGCGACATATCAACTGCGTTTCACAAAGGGTTTTTATACTTTCAGTAAGTATAACATAAGATTTTGTAGTATCTACTAGTGTAAATATTTTAAATTGAAAATTGAGTTCATTCATTGTATTCATATAGGGTCAAAGAGTGTAGCTGTAAAAAATCATCAAAATCAAGTTAAAATAACCGTTAAATCGTGATTTTTTGTTTATAACTGTCGAAAAGTTTTGTCCCGTTACTTGACCTCTGAATGTTTGTTTTTTGTGATTTTTGGCATATGCGATCTCGAAGTATATACAAACAAGTTTGACGATTGGATCGTTGAACCTAGTTTTGTAGAATACATATCCCATCAAAACAATAGATTCACTAACACTTAGAGTTTATTTATATACTTTCATTAAGTATAATATAAAATCCACTAGTGTAAATATTTTAAATTCAAGATCTAATTTGTTCATTGTATTCATATAGGGATAAGGAGTGTAATTATAAAAATCATCAAAATCGGAGTTAAAATAACTGTTAAATCGTGATTATTCGTTTATAATCGTTGAAATTTTTTGTCTCGTTACTTGATCTTTGAATGTTTGTTTTTTTGCGATTTTTGGCGTATGTGATCTCGAAGTATATACAAACAAGTTTGACGGTTGGATCGTTGAAACTAGTTTCATAGAATACGTATCACATCAAAACAATAGCTAGATTCACTAACACTTAGAGTTTATTTATATTTTTATTAAGTATAACATAAGATTTTGTGGTATCCATTAGTGTAAATATTTTAAATTGAAGATTGAATTCGTTCATTGTATTCATATAAGGTCAATGAGTATAGCTATAAAAAGTCCTTTTGAGCGACGCAGGTGTTGTCGTAGCGCAAAATCATGTTATGTCTTCGTCGCACAAACCCTACTTTCACGGACTTTGCGCGACGGTTTGTGCGCGACAAAGATATTGTTGGGCTAATTTTCATGCAACGTTTTTTAACTTTGCGCGATGAAGGTACATGTGTCGCTCAAACTGTTTTTTGTACTAGTATGCCATCCCCTTCTGCCTTCTTTCCCTTATATAGACAAAACCCCCTCCCTACGGAAGGTCAATTGGTGGTCTCAAATACAGAGTCATGTGACCTCTCTCTGACCACCCAATAAATGTCTAACGAATAACAAATATCTAGTCTTGTTCAAGGGGACTTCATTCAATGATAGTTTATTTGTAGAGCGCTCTGGAGATGTGGTCCCCTGGAGAGGTGGTCATCTATAGATCACTTGGAGAGGTGGTCATTTGTAGAGCACCTAGAGAGGTGGTCTGGTGGTTTTAATAGATCAACTTGGAGAGGTGGTTGTCTGTAAAGCACTCTAGCAAGGTGGTCACCTATAGAGCGCCTTAGAGAGGTGGTCGTCTGTAGAGCGCCCTAGAGAGGTGGTCGTCTGTATAGCACTTAAAGAGGTGACCTAGTGGTCTCAATAGAGCAGCATGGAGTGGTGGTCTCAATAGAGCAGCATGGAGTGGTGATCTCGGTAGAGCACCTGGAAAGATGGTTGTCTGTAGAGTACCTGGAGTGGTTTTATCCCAGTCAAAGAGTCTTCTCTCACAATGGTGACATGGCAAGAGTGGGACTGTGTCCTTCCATAGATCCGCGTTAACAGACTTATAAAATGATTGTTGTTTTAGACAATTATTTTTATTTTTAAGATGGAAGGTGATTTCTTGTTTGCCCTTGCATTTGAGAAAAAACTTAACAGAGTTGACGAAAATGATCACTAGAGTTATATGAGTCCTAACTTGATGACCAAAATCTAATTAATATTTGAGTTCACAGACCAAATACAACGGATACTATTATTCAAGAACTATTGCTACATAATTACATAATTAAAGCCAAAAAGAAAAGATTAAAAGAAAGTTTTTAATCAAACCCCTTCACTAATGACTATAAAGACACTTATACGCTACTTCGACTACAACTTTTACTTGAGAATTAGGTAATGTACTTGGAAATTGGTTTCTAGACTTCTACTTGTGTGCATGCCAACTCTCTGAAAATTGTAAGCTCACACAAGTAAGGTTATGGCTATCCATTTTCCATGGTGGTTGGGGACCATATATACTGATGAATGTAATTCCTAATTACTTGGGTTGTACACAATACTCAAAAACACTTTCTTGGAATATGTATGCATATCAAAGAGAGCAAGTAATTCAGAAGCTTCCACAGAATCGATCTAAATACATGCATGGAAATTATGGTCGATTTCCTTGGCATTCTTGCAAGCTCAGCAAATCTCTGTGAATGTGAGAGTAAAGGGTGGGTGGAGTCGGTTGACCCGATTTAGAAAACAGGGAAAACGAAATCTAAAACATCTGTGTTTTCTAAGTGAGACAACTAGCTGACACCTAAGAGATGAAGCTCAGTTGACTCTCTTTTGATCTGAAATATTACAAGTACTTAAAAGAAAAGATGGAGCTTTGCATAGAACAAATTGTCACGTTTTCCCTTTCTTTACGACACTGGCACCAATCCATGCTGCGTAGTTCGTCTAAACCTCACGTTTCACTGCAAAATTGTACTGCAAGTTAAGGAAATTCTATGCATGGTGAACTTTTGTCAAATAGGG